GTATGCAAATAGCTTTATGCTACTTCAATTCAGTTGATAATTTTCCCTCTTCAAGTCACTTACATTTAACGTATCTGTCATAATAATGACCACAACCAGTATATTTCCAGTTATTATGTGGACAAAATACCAAGGATTTCTCATCACCCCAACATTTCACATCTTTTAACCAAATCTTTCCACTGACTAGCGGACTCTCCCAACGACCATGTTGTACCGCATCGTTAAAACCAAGTTCCCAGCATGCCACTTGGGCACTTGTCGCGAAGGATTCGCCGTTATAAGTACACACTGTCCCCCAGGTCCCTTGGTGAAAGATTTCAACACGACCTTTAAGAGGAATATCGGATCCACGAAGACGAATGTATGATTGGCCTAGATAAAAATAAAAAGTGTGTCAACATAGTCGGTTTCACAATGTTCAAAGGTATACGTGGGTTTTACCAAGCACAATCGCGCAACAGATGGTAGTCAACCAGCAGTTATCAGATCAAGAAAATGATGTTAATTCGTTATATTGTTTAGAGTAGTCTTGTATCTGAAGGAAAATAAATAGAATTAGGAGATTCAGCTTGATTTTTTTATCAGCCAGCCTTATTGGAACCCTTCTATAATTTACTATAAAATGAACAAAACGTTGAGATACATACACGTAACACTAATAGCATTCTCCTTCTCACACGTTATTTCGCTACCAATTGCCTGAGAACAGAGTTGCAAGGAACCTTCGGTCCCAGAGCAGTTGTATCTTCTCTCCAACGTCCTTACTCCAGATAAACTCCCGATGTTTCCAAAATAAGAACTATTCCACTGTTCAACATTAACTCCAGGGTACCCAAGTTGTATACAGGAGACATTCGCATCTTTACTGGACCACATGGGATTACAGAATGTAGTACCATCATGAAGCAAGTGTCCTTGGTAGGGAAGATTTGAACCGATCAATTGAAGTTCAGTGAGACTTTGGTTGCCTGAAAAAGAATGTTGATGTTTTAGTCAATTGTTACTAACCGACGATCAACCAACTGACTACCTATCTGACCCGGCCGGCAGCAGACCTGAAAAATAAGGTAGAATCGCGGAATCTGAACAACATTTGCCCTAGCGTCTTGTTTGAGAAACTTTGAATTTTTCACGCATATGTTATGGGAGAATCTTAACGAATATTTTATGCTCATTTTACGATTTTTAATTCAATTTGTCTTTTATTTAATCTTGTATGTAATTAGCTTTTCCACCTCAGCAATTATCATCATTTTAGCTGACGAAGGTCATGACCGAAACGATCTTTTAGAATTCATATAGACAGGGAGAACAATATTTTTAATGTATCAAATTTTGTAATCACTGACTACTCCTGATCTACACTTATCAGATAATTAGATCATTAGATCATAAATTACTTTCACGAGCGCAATTTTTCGGGCAGGAAACATATTCCTATATGATAAATATAAGAGGCCAGCATAAGATTTTAATAAACAGAGTGATACACCCAAATATATACAAAAGTTTTAGTGACAGTGACATTTTTTGAGAAAAAATTTCATTTTAAAAAGTAAAAGATGTTGTTAGAAAGGCGTATGTTTGTATAGGTAATTTTCATATTTCGTTGGTTATAAAAACTTTTGGCAAAGTGCTCAATGGAAAACCAGAGCATATTTAAATTAAGGTACAACAAATCAACGAAATGCAACAGGCATCTTTATTACTAAATTGTTTCGTACCACAAGATGTAGCACCCTTCAGATAAATTGATATAATGACTATAGACTAAAATTTACAAGGTTTACATATATATATATATATATATATATATATATATATATATATATATATATATATATATATATATATATATATATATATATATATATATATATATATGAGGTCTCAAAAGCGGCCCGAGACCGAAGGTCGAGGGACGCTTCTGAGATCGAGCGAAATTATTTTTCATGTAATTTTTCATATAATTGGCTTTGCCACAAAACCAGCTGAAAAAAGCAATTTGACTTAGCGATACGAGCATAGTCAAGTTCTTGATTTCTTCAATTTTTAAAGTTTTTCCAGATACACAAATTCAACATTGAAATAATCTACGAAAGGTAATATTTTTCAAGTACGGACCGACCTCAACGGTAAATAACGTATTTATTTTTTTGCCCAACGCTTAATTAAATTCCTAAAAACTCCAGTGTTGCGAACTAAATTTGAGATCAGTTGTGTTTGTTACTTTAATCCAGTGCTTTAATCCAAGCATGGCTGACATGCTAAAGCGACACGATAAAAAGCCTGTATTTTTGATGCAATAGATGCTTTTCTACTCAACAAGACAATAAAAAGGTAAGCGATTAAAACTATTTATTTTCCTAATCATTTCAGCCTAATAACATGCTTCAAAAATGTTCTTTCGACACACAGCAAGAAATTGTACGTGCCGAAGACATTGTGTTCATGACAACATTTATACAAATATATGACTGAAATAAGTCTATAAATCATGTTTAAACTGCCGTTTTAAAGTTGTTTTTATTTTATGTTTGGGGCCAAATGCTTCGTTCCAATATATATATTTTAACGTATATTTTTCGAAGTATTATATGCTGAGCATTTGAAACTAAACATTTAGCACTGATATTTCGATACCTATATAATATATATATATATATATATATATATATATATATATATATATATATATATATATATATATATATATATATATATATATATATATATATACCGGGTGTCCCCAAAAAAAGTACTCCGGTTTAATTCGTAATAACTTCTAACCAAGTAAAGCTTTTAAAGAGAAATAACTTGCATCAAATAGAGGAAGGACTAACTTAGATTTTGATATGTTACAGTTGTATTTCACTTAAGAATTCACGGAGATATTAATGTTTAAAATCGGGAGCATATTTCTGGATGTGTCTGAAATATGCAAAAAACAGCGTATCAAATATTAATCAAGATTTGCCCGACTGAAACATGCACTATTACCAGTAAATAAATGACACTTGACAAATTGTTTATTATGAAACAAAGTATTATTATCTACAAAATACAAACAAGATTTATTCGTCCGAAATCCGCATGTGTTCCTAGCACGAATATATACGTTTCCTTATTTCATGAGACCACTGCAGCGCGAAGGATCGTCATGGATCGTTCGTAGTTCAGAATTAGGGCATGCTGTCACAATGGAATTGTGAAGCTCTTCTAACTTCTGCAACGTTCTGAAATCTTGTTAAGAACACCCAAACTCTTTTGCCTTTTCTTAATCTTGGCAAGTTCAGAATAAACTGAGAATGAAACACAATCAAACCATACAACTCCATAAGACATAACAAGCAACTCCCCAGAGACATCCAACATTTTTGGAACAAAACGTATAACAAAATAGTAGCGTTGATACTGTGATGCATGTGTATTTGCAAAAAGCAATATTATTCCCTTCATTAAAGAATAATATTCATCCTGCTCTAACCGAGAAATAATCAACTCTGTTTTGAGCCCATGAAAAACATAAAAAATTAGGCTATTTAAGAAAAATTTAAGCGCCTGCCTTGCATGGTCATGCAGTATGGTCTTTCATGTACCCTTTAAGTTTGTAAAGACCTATTAAATACTTACATGATTTCGAGCGTTCATATTTCAGGAAACAATGAGCTAAGACTTACATGTAAGATGTCTAAATCTATGCCATATCCCTTACAAACCCTAACGACAATTCGCTGAAATACAAGTTAGCCTGATACGTCATTAAGCAAACAAACGCTGGAGTTAATATTTGATATGCCGATTTTCGCTAATTTTAGACACATCCCAAAATATGCTCCCGATTTTGAACATTAATATCTCCGTGAATTCTTAAGTAAAATACAACTGTAACATATCAAAATCTAAGTCAGTCCTTCCTCTATTTAATGCAAGTTATTTCTGTTTAATAGCTTTACTTGTTTAGAAGTTATTATAAATCAAACAGGAGTACTTTTTTTTGGGACACCCGGTACAA